GTCTATTTTTAATTTATATTATTAAATTTAAAATTATATTATATACAAATTTACAATATATCTAATATACTATCTCTTTTATTAACATTATTTAATCTAGTTTTTTAAATATTATATTTTTATTTAAAACTAATATATTATTTAACAAGATTGTAATCTTATTTATTATTAAATTTTTATTATATTTTAATTAACAAATTTATACTTATATTTAAGTTCTATACTATATTTTTAGATTCTAAATTAATATTTTTCTTATTTTTCATTTTCTCTATTCTTTTTACCAATATGCTAATTTCAAATTTATTTTATTTAATTACTAGTTCCAAAATAGGAATATAATATTCAAAATAAATTAATATCAATTTAACTATTATAACATACTTAATCTAGATAAGCTTAGTTACTGTAGTAGATTTAGACTACAAATATTATATTAAAATTATTTTAATATTGTGTTTAAGTCTCTAGTTTTTTTTTTAAAAAAGAGTAAAGTCATCACCACATGACCAAGACCCTAGATCCAACTAGTTTATTGTAAACTATTTATAATTAATCTACAACCTGGCTTACTCATCATCATGACTTCTCAACAACAAAGTTGCCAAGTTCTGATAGAAAACTCACTTCTTTGTCTTAACAAAGGATCGGGTTCTTAGCTACTAATCCAATGTGAACTCACTGACTAGTATGTGTTATCTAAAGTCTAATCCTAGTCTATACTACTATATAATCTAAGATTAAACAGAAAAAAAAGAGTAATATGCTACACCTGCACAAAGGTATAAAAATTATATATCTGATGACTTCTATAATATATCTCTAAAACTACTTGTTAGGATAACCCTATTATCTTCAAACGACTGCAAGTATACTATCTTTAAAAAGATTATTTTGTACTATAGTTCTTTTGAACTTTCTGCATATCACAATACAGTCACAATCCTATTTTGGAAAAATAAACAATAATGATCTTTTGGTCATAGTAAACCAGTACTTTGACAAAAATTTCACCAAGGTATTAACAAGAGTGAAAAAAAAAGCCAAGGTTTTTGCAAGATACTAGCCATAAAGAGTGCTTTTCTAGTTGTTCTTTCTTGTCTTTCTTTCTTTTACTATCCTAAAATTCTCTTTTGATAAATCATTACTAGAATAACCCTTCTAGCTTGGATGCTGAATGTAGAGAAGAGTCACCAAAGAATAAGCTTGACCCAGGCTACAAACTGCTTCTCTTCCACTTGCTCCTCAATATATCATGGTAGAGGCTTCATTGACAATGACAGAAAGAAAAACTTTGGATAGTTTTAGACGTCAGGCTTCAAGTTCTTCAACTTGAGTTGGTGGGAATGGTTGGTCCAAGTGATCATCAGGAAGAGTTGTGCCTAACAATCTATGTTAAGTCTCTAGTTTTAATATTCTCTAAATATAAAATTCAAATATAAATTATTTTGTAATCTATTTTTGCAAAGAAGTTTAATTGAATTTCAATAAAATTAAAGATATAATCTCACCATAAAAATTAAAAAAAATTTTCAAAGTTTAATAAATAGGATGTTTTTAATTTTACTATATTATACACAATTTGATTTTTGTTATATTTGCAATATATTATACAACTTAGATTTATAAGCTAATCAAATCAAATGTGATTTAATAAAAATAAAATAAAATTATTAAAGTTTTTAGAAAATGTATTATCAAATAACTTCGAATTATATTTTTAATATAAATGAATATTTAAGATCATGAGCACATTTAAGTTCTCGAAATAAATAAAGCATATGACAATTTAATTCATTTATTTTAAATTTTCATTTAAAAGTTGTCCAAATATTAAAAGAGCCAAAGACTAACCATTCGGATTATTTTAATTGAAATTGCATCCTCGTTCAATGGTTTTAAAAATGTTGATACTGTATTAAAAATTGTCATACATAACGGAATCAAATACTTTCAGAATTAATTGTAAGCAATATAAATTATATGCCTAAAATGATTGTTCGTTCCAAAAATTTTGATCACATTTCATAATTTTTATTGGTTAAATATTTGCGTCACAAAAAAAAAATAAGAGTACGTACGTACGTACTATACAGTATGGATGTACGTAGATAATCTCAAAAAACGTGAATAACAAAATCTACGGTGCGAATAGTACGTATTCTTAAATAAATTTGAAAAAGATTATATTTATGATTAATGTTTAAAATTATATAATTTAATTATATACTATAATTTTTATGTAGCCCTATATATTAAACAAAAAATAAAGATTTTTTTCCTGCATAATAAGCAACGTGGCAGAAATTAATTTCTTTTTATACGCGAATATTAAAAAATTTTACAAGTTATTCCTTAATAGTTAAAAGGTCAATAATGTTTTCCAACAAAGGATTTCCGCCAAGTGTTTTAATTTTTTCGCGAACCGAGTTTTCAGTTTTTGCCAAATAATTACGAGTATATTCAAAAGATCCGGTATCAGTCATTATATTGATAGCATATTGTTTTAAATCAATAGAAGTTGTATGCTGTTTCAATATATCTAAAATATTATGAATCATATGGTTAAAGACAAGTAAATTCTTAAAAAGATTAAGAAAACGGAAGGACAATAAGTCAGAATAAGGATACTGATTAATCTTCTATCATTAGGATCACTATGAATTGAATGTATAATAGGGAAAGAGAATTTTCCTTCAGTCAAGTCTTCACAAAAACCTTTGTTATCAGCATACTGTATAAAATTTAAAGCGTTTAAATTAAAATATTTGAGATAAATAAAATTTTACATATGTAATAAGGTACCTTTTTCGATTGCAAATTCATATAATCATCACGAATCTGAAAATGTATGCCAATATCATCAACTAGTGGTACGTAATCTCTGTTTAAAAAAGATTATATAAAATAACGCTTGAGTGAAATATTATTTAAAATAATTAAAAAAAAAACAAAGAAAAAATATATACATATTTGACTCGCTAGAAAGTTGCATAAGTCTAACAGCCAATCTTAACAGACCACCAGTTTCTGAATGAAGAAAAATTACAATATATATTTTATGATATATTTATGATACATTCATGATATAATTGATATTATTCAAATAAAATTAAATAAAATTAAATCATACTATTTGAAACCATTTCAATGAATTCAGTTTCTGAAGGGCATGACAATGTATCTCTCCAATGTAATTCCATTCCTTGGCCACGATGCAAGTTTATTAGTTCGGCTAAAAAAAAAAAAAAAAATAAAGAAAAAATAAACTCTAAGAAAAAAGAGGCTTTTAATAATAATATATGGATATATTTACACGTGTAAATTTTGAGCATTTCCGAATTATCAAATTTTGTGAGTTCATTTAAAGCAAGGAAATAAACATAATTCGCGCAGTTTATAGTTGCAGGTACGCCGTATATAGAGTGAGCAACTATAATAAAGAAAAAGTTTGTATATAAAATTTAATAATACATCATTATTGTGAAAATCATTCACCAGGAACACCACGGCGTAAAACCGAATCGTCTTCTACGTCATCGATTCTATATTTGAAAAAGAAAGTTAAAAAAAGAATTAATAATTATTTATAAAAATTATTGAAAGCAGTTACATACAATAAACTGGCAGTGTGCAACATTTCAACAACAGTGGTAATAGTAGACAATTTGTCTTTGGGCACTTTAAGCCAATGATCGAAAGCATCGATCAACTTGCCCCTAATGTCTTTTCCAGGATTAGCTATAAGATAATTATAAGGCTCTAACAAAATCTTTTTATTATCATTCAATGCAAACACAGAGAAAAATCCAACAATTAGATTAACAGCTTTAGCATTAGAGAGAGCATCGCGTGAGAAATTCATTACCTCATCAACCGACAAAGAGTGCATGGTAGGTCGAAAGGTGGACGAATCAAGTTTTCTGTGCTTATGATGATTCATTTTTTTCAAAGAAAATATGAGACCAAGAGAGAAAGTTTGCGGAAATGAAATACAGTATAATTTGAATCGGGATGTAACCGATAAATGAATTTACTATTCGGGAATTAACATACTATATCAATATTCTCCCGTATATAGGATCATGAGAACCAATCGGATCAAAAAATTGGAAACTTGGATTACCCCTAAATATTTCTGTACCCATATTTTAGACTTATTATTTACTGCATAAATTACAGCAACAGTCAAATTCATTATCAAAATCAAGATTCTTTACTTATTGTCCCACTTTCGTGAAACATTGTTAAAAAACATGAATTTAAGTTGACTACATAATAAAACATGGCCACCGAATGCTTAAGTAAGTATTTTTATTATGGAAATTAATATCATTCACATACAGTATATAAATACGTAATAAGGAGAATGGATTTCATTATAATCATTGCATAATCAATTTAAAGTTATGATTGTTATAATGATGTTGATTTATTGCTTTTGATGTCCATTGAACATTAGGAACTTCTGAACGTAATAATTTGTCCAATTTTGCATTCATAGTAAGCATTGTTAACATTTGGATAATAATTTTTATCAAAGTTTATGAATTCTAAAGGAAGAAATTTGAAGATGGTTAAATGTATTTAAAAATAAAAATGTAACAAAACCAATAGCAATTTGATACCTTTTTTTGTCAGACAAAGAGTATTATCTTAAGATCCGTTTGAACAGACGCTAAATCAAAAACT